ATAGAGCGAACCCGGAGGAAATAAAATGTGATCTATGTTGCTCTACATGGATCGACCCATCAGGGTTGCCGTGTGGGCGCCAGGGAGCATCCCTGGGCTTGAAGCACCCCAATTGGAGCTCCCTTATTTGCCTCAAAAAAGAAGGAACTCCCTTATGACGGTCTAGATAGCCTAGACAAATATGGATAGTTTGGGCCTTTGAGGAGGCATGTTGGTCCAGACAATACGATTTTCTCTGTTCTTTGTTGAATTTTTCTTGGTTTTCCCTAAAGTTTTTGAAGAAAATATTTTCCTTTTTTTTCTTGTTCCCGCCTGAAGCACATCGTTTGAAGCACAACTGTGTTTTGTGGTGAAGCACACAAAATGTGCTTCTCGAAAAGTGAAAAGTATTCACAAACTGTGCTCCCAACAAGTGAGTAGCATAATTTTGCACTGCATGAAGTACAGATGTGCCTCTGCATGCTTCCCAAAAAGTGAAAAACACCATTGTGCATCACGTGAAGTAAACTTGTGTTTCCGTGTGAAAAAAATGTGCTTCTAAAGGAAGTGAAGCACAAAATGTGCCTCTGTGTGAAGCGTAGTTGTGCTTCTGGTTTCCCTTTTTCCGTTCCAGCTTTTTTTTTTGTTTATGTTTTTTTACATCATCCAAACCTGTGAACATGGGAGTCGGCTCATAGATCTTCATGTGACAAACGCAACGATGAAAATGATTCATGATTTTCTTTTCTTTTTTTTTTCTCGAATACGCACGAGTGTGCGTACTATATTACAAAGAAGGAATCGGGGTAAAGAGCCCGTCCACGTTAGCGTTACAGATTACATATATACACTGCACACTGACTCCACCCTCCACCTCTCTCTCCTATGTCTACCTACGCTCCACTGTCCACTCCTCCACTTCCGCAAAGAAAGCGTCCATGTCTCCTCGTAGTATGCCCGCTTGCTTCCATATACGGCCCTCTCGTATGAATGCTTGTATGATCCTGTTCTTTGAAGGTGTGGCTCCGTCAAAAACGATAGAGTTGCGGTGCTTCCATATCTGCCATAGCCCTAGAATGATGATTGCATTTGCATCTCTTTCGGCATGCCTTCTTCCTCCCTTGCCTTGACACCATGCCCCGAGGCTTTCAATCGTAGTAGGTATCCACTCCGGCTTGCGCAAGGGATGGCAGATCGCCGTCCACACTTCCCGTGCGACGACACACTGAAGTAGAACGTGGTTTATGCTCTCCTCTTCTTGGCTGCACATTGGGCAGCAGTCTTGATGATCCAGTCCACGTCTAGCTAGCCGATCGGACGTACAGCACCTGTCCTGGATTGCAAGCCATGTGAAGAAGCGACATGGCGCCGGTGCCCTTGATTTCCATGTGAATTCAGCCGTGGGGACGACCTGCCGGCCCCAAAACTTGGCTGCATAGGCAGTCCGCGCTGAGTAGCATCCGCTTGCTTCCCATGACCAAGAGATGGCATCGCTCTGTGTTGGGTCAAGCTCGACTCTTTGGATCATTGTCCACAACTGCAGGTACTCGCGTAACGATTCAGAAGTGACCTCTGGGCTCACTTGGGTGACCCAACTGTGGTTCAGAAGCGCCTGGGAAACAGTGCATGTTCTTCTTATTCTCTTCCTGACTCGCATGTATGCCAAGGGTGCGATCTCTCCGATCCGGTGTCCTTCGAGCCATCTATCTTCCCAAAAGAGTGATGTATTTCCATCCCCTAGAGTCCAACGAGCAGTCGCGTTGAAGATTTGTGTTGAGGCTTTTGGCACCGTGATGTCAAATTCTGCCCATGGTCGTGTTGCGTCCGATCGTTGTAACCAAGGCCACCTTGCTTGCACCGCTTTGTTCATCCATCCTAGGTTGGGGATGCCTAGTCCACCCGCCCACTTGGGGGCGCATACCGAATCCCAAGCAACCGCGCAGCTGCCGTCGGACGAATTTGCCTCCGCGCACCAAAGGAAACTGCGGCATATTCTGTTCATTGCTGAGATTGTCTTTTGTGGGAGGTCGAGTGCCATCATCGCATGTAGCGGAATCGCACATAGCACTGATTGTACAAGGAGCATTCTTCCACTCTTTGGCATCTTTGTTGCTTTCCACTTTGGCAATGCCGTCGCAAGTTGATCCACAAGGCCTGATAACTGAACATGGATCTGCTTCCTGAGGGTGAGCGGCAACCCAAGGTACTTGCACGGGAAGGCACCTCTCGGGCACCCAAGTGCTCGCTCCACTATTTCCATGGTCTCGGCAGAGCATCGTATAGGATAGACCGCGCTTTTGGCAAGGTTGACGCGGAGGCCTGATGCCTCTCCAAACAGAGTAAGAAGTGATGCGCAGGTGTTCAAATCCCTCTCATTTGTCTTGAGGAAGATCATTACGTCGTCGGCAAACATCGAGAGGCGGTGACGCAGCCCGGTTCTTGCCAATGGAGCTAGCAAGCCCCTAGCGGTCGCGAGCTCAAACATGCGGTGTAGGGGCTCCATGATAAGGATGAATAGCATTGGGGATAACGGTGCACCTTGCCTCCAGCCCACGGTGTTGCATATTGGCCGCCCCGGCGTACCGTTGACCATGATTCTTGTTGATGTGCTTGCCAGCATTCCACAGATCCACGTGATCCATCGCTCACCAAATCGGCCTTGCGTAGCACTTCTAGTAGGAATGGCCATTGCACCGAGTCAAACGCCTTTGATATGTCAAGCTTGAGCATAATGGTCGGGTCCCGCAGGGCGTGTAGCCTCCGTGCCGTGCATTGGACGAGCATGAAGTTATCGTGGATCGATCGTCCGCACGATTTTCGTGCTCTGGTGGTTTCCCACAATGGAAGGAAGATCCGCAGCAAGTCGCGTAGCCAGAGTCTTGTCAAAGATCTTGATCGCACTGTGAACCAAGACGCACGGCTTAGATGATACTCCCTCCGTTCCTAAATATTTATCATTTTAAAGATCTCAAATGGACTACCACATACACCATACGGATGTATATAGACATATCTAGAGTGTAGATTCACTCATTTTGCTCATGTAGTCACTCGTTGAGTTTTCTAGAAAAACAAATGTTTAGGAACGGAGGAAGTAGAATGTTTTAAGTGAATCTAAAAAGCTCAAAACTCACAGATTGTGACAAACATCACGCATACAACGCGCCAGTTGTCATCACCGAAGAAGACGGGAATGAATTTACAAAGGAACACTCTTAACTAGTGATTACGAAAATATGGCAGGTTTTGGGTCTCCACTCTCCACTTGGAGATGTCCGTATTTCATTGCGCCTTGGTCCCCCTGCCCGAGCACCGCAGCCCACATGATGACAGGAGGTAGCCGCACCCATACTTAACATTTAACAAGTGGACCGGCCATTTCCCAGCCAGGAGGTGTGTGTGTGTCACCAGCGCACCACAAATGGAAGCAGCAGACATCGCAGCAGCTTGATTCGAAGAGCACCGCACCCGATTGGCATTTGCCATTCGGCACCTGCGCCGCGCCGCACAGAACCCGTCGCTGCGGGAAATCTGAGTAAGTCCCATACGGGGCCCAATGTTGTCATGATCTCGACAGCGACAAACGCTGACGACGATCAACATAGCCCCTTCCGCCCGTTATCATTGGTTGGGTTCCTCACTGGCTGCCATGCACGCACTTTACGACCCAGTAAACCGCCTGCAACAGCATCGGTCAATCAATCATTCCCCGTGCATCTGGATGCTGCGTTCATCGCGATCTATTTATAGTGAACGAGCTGCACGACAATGTCACCACCAAGATCACATTGCCATTCCACGGAACCAAACACCAGGCCGGGGAGCAACTCGCGTAAGCTACGAGCCTAGGATCGATATACGTACGCACGCCTGATGGCATCGGCTCGCGACGTGATGCTCCACGTGCTGCTGCTCGCGGTGGCCCTCGCCGCGGCGCCCGGCGTCCTCTCGGACCCGCCACCGCTCCAGGACTTCTGCGTGGCCGACCTCAAGGCCGCCACGGCGGTCGACGGGTTCCCCTGCAAGGCGCCGTCGACGGTGGAGGACGACGACTTCTTCTCCGACGCCATGGTCGCCGCGCCCAGAACCGACACCAACCCCTTCGGCGTCAACTCCACGCGCGCCACCGTGTCGGTCTTCCCGGGCCTGAACACGCTGGGCCTCTCCATCACGCGCACCGACCTCGCCGTGGGCGGCCTCAACCCGCCGCACTCGCACCCTCGCGGCTCGGAGCTCGTGCTGGTGCTCAAGGGCGAGGTCATGGTCGGGTTCACCTCGGCGACCAACCGGCTCTTCACCAAGGTGGTGAAGGAGAACGAGCTCTACGTCGTGCCCCGCGGCCTCCAGCACTACCAGCTCAACGTTGGCACCGGGGACGCCGTGTTCATGGCCATGTTCGACGCCCAGTCGCCGGGCCTTGTCACGCCCACGCTCGCGCTCTTCGCGACCGAGCCGGCCATGCCGATGGAGGTGCTCACCAAGACCTTCCTCATGGGCGAAGATGATGTCACCACCATGAAATCCAAATTCGCCGGCTTCTGACACTGAATATTGGCGGGGGTTCAGCTGCTAATGCAATCCACTGCAGTATCCGTGTGTTTGTTGTTAGTCTCTGTACCCGACTCTTCTGAGATCGTTTTATGTGTCTCCCGTGTCTCCGTGTGCGCATATTCACAAGAACAAGTTACGGTTGTGTATGTTACGAATTAAAGGACGTGTTATTGCCACACTGCATTACAGTTCATGACTAAGTTCACCAGGATGGCAGTACTGTGAACAGGATTAGCCAAGAGATGAAGAGAGTACGATTCCAACTTTATTAGACTGTGAAACACGGAAACAAGCATGGAAGGGAGGAGTCAGGGATGCCTCATTGGGCATTTGTCTAGGTCCTGACAAGTTAACAGCTCCACGAGGTGAGCTAATTTAGAAACAAAGTGGCGACAGATCGACACGTAGAAATAGAAATTGAACTATGGCTTAGAGAGAGATACATCAGGGGCGGGTTGACAATGCCACGATTAGTAATCCCTGGTCCCAGGCTTGTACGTGCTGGTATCCTTGGCGGGGACGTCCGTGCTGCCGTTGGTGCCACCGCCCATTCCGATCGTGTTCATCACCGCGTCCTTCGCCCCCACAGCCGCGCCCTTCACCGTCTCCCCTGCCTGCACACAAAATCCACACAGGATCATCTTTAGAACGTCTGTTGCAAGATGAAATGATTAATTACTACGAGCAAGAATGCAACAATGTACCTGCACGAGGAGGCTGCCGGTCTTGTCCTTGCCGGCGACGGCGGTGTCCATGGCATACTGCGCGGCGGCGCCGGCCTTCTGCTTGGCGGCCTCGGCCGTCTACCCGATGTAGCTCCCGGTCCGCTCGGTGCCGGCACGGGCGGTGTCGATGGTGTACTGGGCGGCGCCGGCCGCCTTCTGCTTGGCGGCCTCGGCCGTCTGGGCGATGTAGCTCCCGGTCTGCTGCGCGGTGCCGGCCGCGTTGTCCTTGGCCTCGTAGCCCTTCTCCTTGGTGGCCTCCGCGGCGCCGCGGCCCTTGTCCATGGCGCGGCCAGTGGCGTCCGACGCCGCGTCCTTGGCCTCGTACGCCTTCTCCTTGGTCGCCTCCTTGGCGTCGCCGCCCCTGCCCATGGCGCGGCCCGCGGCGTCGGACGCCGTGTCCTTGGCCTCCCGCGCCTTGTCCTGCGCCGCGCCCACGACGTACCCCGTCTTCTCCTGCAACGCACGCACCAAAACACAGTGTGAGTGCATGTCAAAGCCGACACGCCGACAGGGCGGAGCAAGCACGAAACTGACCTCGGCGCGGGCCTTGGCCTCCCCGGCGTGGTAGCTAGCCTGATCCTGACGAGAAGCCATGTCTTCGCAAGCTAAGGTAGGATAGGATCGAGCGGCACGAACGCAAAAACTGGATAGGGCTCGAAAAGTGTACAACGTAGGTTGGTTTGGAAGTTGGCGATGCTGGATGCTTTGCTGTTGTGATGAGCAGCTTGATCGGCTGGTGTCTTTATAGCGGTTGAGCTGGGAGAGAGGCCTGGGCACGTGGCGCGCAGACGCATGTAGATGGGCGCCACGTTGGTAGGACACGCGTTGTGAAGAGCGGGGAGTTCCCAGGTGTCCGCATTTGCCTGGTTCAAACTGAGGCAGCGGGAGAAAAGAAATAAAAAAAAACACGAAGGAAGGAGGACACGGTGGGTTATGGGCTCGTGCATCGAGGTGAGTAGGTGCGCGTGAGATATATGCTGCTGCCTATACCTGGCCATGGGAAGTCCGGAACGGCCGGCCCGGCCCGACGCTTCCTCTGGGCCGGGCTCGGGCCTAGATTTTGAGCCCGATGGTCAGGCCGAGCCTGTGCCCGTTGTTTTTGCATTTTTCTGAAGGTCGGGCCGGGCCGGCTCGGAGCCCGACGGGTTTTTACACGTTCAGGCCGGGCTTGGGCCCAGAAAACAGGCACGATGGCCTCGCCGGGCTGGGCCCGGGCTTGGCTAGGCCCGGCCCGAAGCCTGGCCCGGTCCGAGGTATGGCTAGGTATATTGCTGCCCAACGCTCTTGGTGATGGGCTCGGTTACTTTTACGCGGCTGAGAATTCGCCAAATCGAGCCCTTTTCTTCCTTCACTCGAGTGTGGTCGGGTTTTTTTTAGGTGATGGGCGTGTGGTTGGTGGCTCGTACGTGGCCTTCTTGGGCTTTGCGTATGCTTTGGCCTAGAGCATGCCGACCAGCAGCCATGGAGAGAGATTGAAAACAATTATGCCTCAATTTTGGTCCATAAGTCTTTGCAATGTTTTATATAAAATAGCCTCTAAAGTGATATCGAATAGATTGAAAACAATTTTGCCCGCATAATTCCCGAGGAACAGTTTGCTTTTGTCCTTGGAAGGCTTATCACAGACAACATTTATGTGCTTATGAATGTTTGCACTGTATGAAGCGGTCAAGAGCCAAATCCAACAGCTTTTATGCTTTAAAGTGGGACATGATGAAGGCATACGATAGATTCGAGTGGGCCTATCTGAAAGGTATCATGACAAAACTGGGTATTGATCACCATTGGATAGATATTGTCATGGGCATGGTCTCTTCAGTTTCATTTTCTGTGTGTTTCAATGGTGAAAAGCTTGGATCTTTTAAGCCTACACGAGGTATCCGGCATGAAGACCCGATCTCCCCCTACTTATTCTTGATTGCAGCAGAGGGCCTTTCGTGCCTCCTTAAATCAAGTTCTAAGGTGTCTTTGATAGGTGTCCAGGTGGCTCCTACGGCTCCCACCGTTAACCACCTCCTGTTTGCAGATGATAGCATGTTGCTATTCAAGACCATTGGGGAAGGATCAGTTGAGGTGTCAAACCTACTTGATACATATTGCAATGCTTCTGGACAGAGGATCAACAATGAGAAATCTTCAATTTTCTTCAGCAAGGGTTGTCCTGCACAGTTGAGGGGAACTGTCAAAAACAACTTGCAGGTCCACAATGAATCTTTGAGTGAGCGCTACCTTGGTATGCCAACTGATGTCGTCCACTCGAAGAATGGTACGTTTAAATATCTCTGGGATCGTGTTAGGGAAAAGATTAAATGATGGATGGAGAAGCTACTTTCAATTGCTGGTAAAGAAGTGTTGATTAAATCTATCGCACAAGCAATCCCAGTTTACTCAATGTCTTGCTTCATATTGCCACGAGGTCTATGTGACAGTATCACTTTTATCATCCGACAATTTTGGTGGGGTTCCAAGCAAGGGAGGAGGAAACCTAGTTAGGTGGCGTGGGATATCATGACCATGCCTAAGCATTTGGGAGGTCTAGGGTTTCGAGATATGGAGATATTCAACATTGCACTTCTAGCAAGGCAGGCCTGGCGGACTCTAATAGATAGCGGATCTCTGAGTGCCCGGATTCTCAAGGTTGTTTACTTTTCGATTGCTCTTTGCTTCAGGCCGAACTGGGAGTGCACCCATCCCAGATATGGCTGGCAATTTTGGATGGGCGAGATATCTTGGCACAAGGTGTTATACACAGAAGTGATGATGGTGAAACCACGAATATATGGCAACACAACTGGAACCCAAGAGACAGCTTCAAGCGCCCTATCACAGCTCTTGTTCCAAACCCTCCGGATAGAGTGGCACAGCTCATAGATGTTACATCAGCAAGCTGGAAGGAGGACTTGGTCTGGACTGTGTTTACTCACTTTGATGCAGAGGCAATCCTCAGGATTCCGCTATGCACACGCCGTGTTGAAGATTTTTGGGCTTGGCATGAAGAGTATCGAGGTAGATTCAGTGTGCGATCGGCTTATTGTATGATACTCAGGACGAAGCAAGTTGCATGAGGAGGGTAGAACTTCATATGAACACAGCGAAACCAGCAAGTGGTCTATGATCTGGCATATGCAAGTACCCTCCAAGCTCAAGATGTTTGTGTGGCGTCTAGCCCAACACTCAATGCCGACGGGAATAATCTTGAAACACCGTCACATGGTGATGGAGGACACCTGTCTATTATGTGGGGCAATGGACACTTGGAAACATGCGCTGATCTCATGCCCGATGGCGGCAAGTGTCTGGGCGCTGGCGCCTGATGAGTTGGTGCAGCACATGCTAGAGAGAGGGGAGGAGAACCCGAAGGATTGGCTATTTTCACTGCATGAAATATTAACGAAGGAGCTCTCCGATCGCTTAGTAGTAACACTATAGGCACTCTCGGGAGTCAGACGGAAGGCTATTCACGATAACATTTTTCATTCACCATATTTGGTTAACAATTTCATATCTAGCTATTCGGGTGAGTTGCAGATTATCAACGCCAGGCTACCAGTGGCGACTTCTCCAACTAGTGTGAGACCACCGAGATGGTTGGCCCCGCCGACAGGCAACGCAAAGCTGAACGTTGATGCTACTGTGTCCAGGCAGGGGTTTGGGTCAGTTGGTGTGATTTGTAGAGACCATGTTGGTACGTTCATGGGAGCTTCGACCCTTTGCTTCAGGAACACACTACAAAAAAAAGACACATCCGTGACATTTTGGGCCGAACGAAAAAAATTATGTCATACATATGACACTTCTATGACGATAATTGTGACAAAACCCGGTATCACCATAGATGTGGTGGGCTCCTACTTCTATGACAAAAAATCATGACAGAAAATGGGCTTTTCGTCCTGGGCGGGCCGGACACGCAGCTGCATGACATTCTTTGGGCCTTCCTGTTGGGAACGTAGTAATTTGAAAAAAAATTCTACGCACACGCAAGATCATGGTGATGCATAGCAACAAGCGGGGAGAGTGTGTCCACGTACCCTCGTAGACCGAAAGCGGAAGCGTTAGAACAACGCGGTTGATGTAGTTGTACGTCTTCACGGCCCGACCGATCAAGCACCGAAACTACGGCACCTCCGAGTTCTAGCACACGTTCAGCTCGATGACGTCCCTCGAACTCCGATCCAACCGAGTGTTGAGGGATAGTTTCGTCAGCACGACGGCGTGGTGATAATGATTATGTTCTACCAACACAGGGCTTCGCCTAAGCACCGCTACAGTATTATCGAGGTGGACTATGGTGGAGGGGGGCACCGCACACGGCTAAAAGATCAAAGGATCAATTGTTGTTGTGTCTAGAGGTGCCCCCTGCCCCCGTATATAAAGGAGCAAGGGGGGAGGGGGCGGCCGGCCTAGGAGGGGGCGCGCCAAGGGGAGTCCTACTCCCAACGGACCAGAGGGGGGCTGCGCGCCTCCTTCCTTTCGGCCTCTCTCCTCTATTCCCGTATGGCCCAATAAGGCCCATATACTCCCCAGCGAATTCCCGTAACTCTCCGGTACTCCGAAAAATACCCGAATCACTCAGAACCTTTCTGAAGTACGAATATAGTCGTCCAATATATCGATCTTTACGTCTCGACCATTTCGAGACTACTCGTCATGTCCCCGATCTCATCCGGGACTCCGAACTCCTTCGGTACATCAAAACTCATGAACTCATAATATAACTGGCATCGAAACCTTAAGCGTGCGGACCCTACGGGTTCGAGAATAATGTAGACATGACCGAGACACGTCTCCGGTCAATAACCAATAGCGGAACCTGGATGCTCATATTGGCTCCCACATATTCTACGAAGATCTTTATCGGTCAAACCGCATAACAACATACGTTGTTCCCTTTGTCATCGGTATGTTACTTGCCCGAGATTCAATCATCGGTATCTCAATACCTAGTTCAATCTCGTTACCGGCAAGTCTCTTTACTCGTTCCGTAATACATCATCCCGCAACTAACTAATTAGTTGCAATGTTGCAAGGCTTATAGTGATGTGTATTACCGAGTGGGCCCAGAGATACATCTCCGACAATCGGAGTGACAAATCTTAATCTCGAAATACGCCAAACCAACAAGTACCTTTGGAGACACATGTAGAGCACCTTTATAATCACCCAGTTATGTTGTGACGTTTGGTAGCACACAAAGTGTTCCTCCGGTAAACGGGAGTTGCATAATCTCATAGTCATAGGAACATGTATAAGTCATGAAGAAAGCAATAGCAACATACTAAACGATCAAGTGCTAAGCTAACGGAATGGGTCATGTCAATCACATCATTCTACTAATGATGTGATCCCGTTAATCAAATGACAACTCATGTCTATGGTTAGGAAACATAACCATCTTTAATTAATGAGCTAGTCTAGTAGAGGCATACTAGTGACAATATGTTTGTCTATGTATTCATACATGTATCATGTTTCCTGTTAATACAATTCTAGCATGAATAATAAACATTTATCATGATATAAGGAAATAAATAATAACTTTATTATTGCCTCTAGGGCATATTTCCTTCAGTCTCCCACTTGCACTAGAGTCA